CCAGGACCACACAGTGAGACACTGTCTCATAGAAAATAAATAAAGAGTGGAGTTCTTTAGTGCTCACCGGGAAAGGCATGACAGTATCGATTTTATTCATGTCTTAGAGTGTGCATGTACCTACAGAGGCCAGAAGACATTGGGTCCTGTGAAACTTAGTTTACAGATAGTTGTGATAGTTGTGAGCTGCCAAGTATATGCTGGGAGCCAAACCCAGGTCCTCTGCCAGAGCAGCAAACCCTCCCTTCAGCCCTTTAGTTGTATCTTAGATTCGAGATTTGAGACAGTGTTTTCGGGTTTAGATGTTTGTGGTTGTTTTGTTTTGTTTTGACCTAGGATTAGAATCTAGGACCTCACACATGCCGGGTAAGCTCTCTGTCACTGGCTGTATTTCCTAGCCCTACATGAGCTCTGTAATGGATATCTTCCTCAACCACATGGAGATGGGTGTCAGGCTGTTTATAACCAGTGAGAGAAGCCCTTCTTGTTGGGGATGTACCTGCTCAAAGGCCTTTGTCTATCCTAAGAACCACGGAAGATGTGTGTGATGGCACAACTCTATAATCCCAGCATGCAGGAGGATTAGAAGTTCAAGTTCATCTTTGGCTACATAGGGAGTTCAAGGCCAGCCTGGGTCAACCTCGTGTCACACACAAAAAAGAAGGGTACATTCTTGACTCTCTTCCCTGCTTTCCTTCCCCAAGTGTGTGGGCTTTGTGGAATGTCTCTTGTCCGTATCAGTGTCTTTGGGGGCTCCTGATGGTGGTACAGGCTGAGAGTAGCCATGAAAAGCAGCAGGATTAAGATTTTTGGGGCTGTCATAGACCAAACAAGCAGTGAGCCAACTCTGATAGGTGTAGGGATTTACAGAAAACCCTGAGGGATTACAAGCCTGGATGTGGCCCTAGTAGTAGCATGGATGAAGACTTCGTGAGTTTCTGCTGATTGCAAACCCTGTATCCATTTGTGGGAATCGTGGCTGCAAGAAGAGCCACTTGGGACTTGGTTTGTTTTTGTGCATTTGTTTTTGAGACAGGGTCTTTCTGTATCTCAGGAACTCATGATCCTCCTGCCTCAGATTTCTGAGTACATTCATTTTCTTTTTTCCTCCTGCGTCTGCTCCTCCTTTCCCCTCTTTCCTTCTTCCCTCTCTCCCCCTTTTTTGAGACAGTGTCTCGCTGTGCCACAAGCTAGCCTCAAACTCTTACTCTGCCTCAGCTTTTCAAGTGCTGAGGTTCTGGGCATTGCTGCCACACGTAGCTTAACTAAACAGGCTTTTTTTATCTGTTTAGTTTTTTTTCTTCTGTTATTTCCTTGTGGAATTTATTGGTCAGACTTAGCCCCCCTAGATTGGCCTTCTGATTGTTTTCATAGTTTTGTTTTTGTTCAAGTATATACTACCATTTCTAGCTTTGCATTGAATTAAAAAAATTGTAAAATTTACTTTTTGACTCCTGAGACAGAGTCTCACTATGTAAACTGGACAGGAACTTGTTACAAAGATCAGGCTGACCTTGGTCTCTCAGAGATCATACTGCCTCTGCTACCCAGCTGACATTAAAGATGTGAGCTGCCATGCTTGGCTGCACTGAAGTTTTATTTCACTATAATTTAAATTTGCTAGAGTTCTTTCTGTTCCCTGAATAGTCCTTTAAAAAAAAAATAGCACTGATGGCTCATCAGTTAAGACATTGTCTGCTCTTGCAGAGGACCTGGTTTCAATTCTCAGCACCCACATGGTAGCTCAGAGCTCTCTGTAATTCCAGTTCTAGTGTGTCTGACGCTCTTTTCTAGCCTTTGAAGGCACTACATGCACATGACGTGGATATACATACAGGCAAAACATACACATAAACAGAAAAGAAAATAGCATTATGTTCTTGTTTCTTGGGTGCCTCCCTCAGCTCTAATTTTCTCCCTTCATTGTCTGTGAGTTTCTGTTTTCTGTTCAGTTATTTAATCTTGTTCTCTGATCTGGAGGATTTTCTTCAAATGGCTGCACCTATTTGACTGTGAAAATCTGGGTGGAAACTTCTCTCCATTGCCAGGCACTCAGCTGGGAGCGAATGTTTCTGTAGGGGGTCCTCAGAATTTAATACCTCAAAATTTCCTTCCCCACAACCCTCTAGTAGTCCCAGGGTCACTTGGGTTTTCCAGGAAAACCCTCCCAGGTCTCCTGCCTGTAGAAACAGTGTGAGGGCTCAGTTAGAGCCTTCCAGTGTCTGAGCATTCTGTGGTGCACTTCTAGCCCAGGCTCTCTGGCCTCTAACAGCTCACATGGCTGTTAATGTCTGGTTGCTGGGTTGGGATAGAAGCTGGGAGTCTTTAACTGTCCTGTAGGGGGTGAAACAGCCCTGCATTCAGCTCTGCCTCTTGCCTGTCCTCCAAGGTGCTCTGCTCCTCTGGTCCCCAAGATGTCCCCCTCCTCTCCTCTGGTGGGCTTGTTTTCAGTGGTGTTGTGGGCTCTTGGTATTTGGTCTTCTAATCTCATCTGCTAATGTTTCCTTCCACTTTAATTTTCAATAATAAGTGTGTTGACAAGTCTTAACGGCTGTAATTTCCCTCCTCTGTTCTTGAGAGTTTAATTTACTTTACTTAGCTGAAAGCGTATTTTATTATTATTTTATTTGCAGTATTGGATATCAAACAAAGGGCTCACACATGCTGCTAGGCAGACCCTTTGCCACTGAGCTACACTGCTAGCCCTTTTCTGTCCTGCTTTGAGACTAGGTATCCAAGGGGGCTTCGTAGCCTTTGGCCTTGGTCTTCTGAGAAGCTGGGGTTATGGGCATGTACCACTGCACCCAGTTTGAATATGAATGTGACTTATTTTACATTTTTATTTATTTGTCTTGTGTGTATGCATGCACTGCACGTACGTGGAAATCGGGGCAGCTTGAGGGAGTCAGTTCTCTTTTCCTACATCAGATTCCAGGGATTGAACTCTAGGTTTAGTGGCCAGTGCCTTTACCTACTGAGTCATCCTGCCAGCCCAGAAAATGTGTATTTTGATCAGAAGTGTAGGCTATTATATATTTATGTTTATCACATTTAGAATTAATTCTGGCATCTGCTATTTTTCTAGTGTTGGAAATTGAACCCAGGGCCTCTACTACTGAGCTTATGCCCTAATCCCCTCCCCCCACACACACTTTTTTTTTAAAACTAGATACAGCCTCATGTATCCTTGGACGGCCTTGAACTCTAGATCATTATTGCCCAAATTGCCTTGCATTTCTGATCTTCTGTCTCCACCTCCTGAGTGGAGGGTTATAGACGTGTGCTACCATGCCTGGCTTTATATGTGGGGATCAAACTTAGGACTTGGTGCCAGTTAGACAAGAGCTCTACCAACTGAGCCCTCCATAGAGTCTCACCTTAGTCCAGGCTGACCTTGAACTCATAATCCTCTTGCCTTTACCTTTTGAGTGCTGAGATTGCAGACGTGTGTCCCCATCAGCGGCCACTTCTGTTGTTTTATTTAGTACTTTCTACCTATTTTGTCTTCTCTTTGCTGCTTTGCTTTTTCTGTCCTTTATTATGTAGACTGCATTTTCTTCTCCTAGTTGAAAAGTTATGCATGATTGAGTTTGTTATCATTCTTCTCCTGTGTAACTAATTAAGCCCACACTTGACCTTTTCATTATCTTGTGTCCTTGCCCTGAAGACCCTTAGCAGGCTCCCCCTTCCCTTGCTCTCCCTGCCTTCGTGGATCTGGACTGTGCTCCATGACTGGTTTCTGTGGAGAGACAGGGCAAGCCAGCCTGTTCCTGGGTGTCTTAGAGAGGCCTTCAACTCTCAGTGATGATTTGCTTTAAAGGATAGCTGAAGATATCCCTGAGGTTTTTTTTTTTTTTTTTGTGGGACTAGGGATGATTGGTAGGAGAAGTGAGACAGAATGAACAGGTCAGTAATTCTTGGAACCCTAGACCTGCAGCTACTACTCAGTTTTCCCTTTGAGACGTCAGCTTTTGACTCCAGCTCTGTTCTCAAGAGTTGTACATGGCATGGTGCCCCCTGCTCTGCAATGGGAGAAACGTCCTAATGGGAAGGAGTGGCGACTAGATTGTGTGCAGAGGCAGCCTTGAGTCGACGTCACCAAGTTCTTATCAAGCAGGAATGTGGATCCAGCAGCCTCAGAGCTTTCAGTATTTCTATGGCAGGCAGGAAACTGGGTTTCCTGTGTGAAATCTTCCATTTATACATTGGGTGAAACTGCTTATAACTCTGTCCAGGCGTTATGGCCAACTCTGGTCAGACACTGTGGCCTTTGCACAAAGCCCTGGTTGTCAGTGATGCTTTCTGTCACCCTGTCCTAGCTGTCTTCCTGGATGAATGTCCTTTCCTGACTCTGGTTTCTCCTAAGGCGTGACTTTCTACTCCCTTCCTCACCTAGTAAAACATCCTCTTTGTTTGTATCAGTGCATTCTCAGTAGTTGACAAGGTGAAGACACACCCATTCTCCCCCACGTGAGGGCACAGACTTTCCCACACCCAGGCCTTGTTCCTGAAGTAGGTGAGGGACTGTGTTCTCTCACTGGAGCGTGGATGCTGACATAGCATACACACACCAGCTGTCAATGCCTTGGCCTGTAGCAAGCAAGCTCTTGGCATAGGGCTTGGTCTATGTCTCCTTGGTTGATCCCTCCTGCCTGTGGTAGACTAGAGTTTTCTCCCATCATCTGCCTCCCACTGCCTCTGGCCTCTACTGCATGAGTGGCAGTGGCTGCGGCTTTATATACTCGAGACAGTTGGTGACTCATTTCACAGCAGCCCCTTAAATAGGGAAGTGAAATGTGTACACCTGGCAGGGCCTGGCCTTTGAGTGACAGCGGAAGTAGCTGTGTAAACATGAAGATCATTGCTAAGGGGAAGTCTTGTTCACCACCAGGCTAAGGAGAGCATCCGCCTGCACTCGCCCTCGTGTGGCCTCTATGCCTGTGACTCTAGTAACTTTTTTTTCTTTCTCTTCTCCCTTCCCTCCACTTTCTTGGTGACAGCTGGAAGTCACAGTGGTAACCACTGAGAGAGCCAAACATTTCTATAGCCCTCAGGATGTTCCTGTCACCCTCTACAGTGATGCTGATGAATGGGAGGTCAGTGCTGGGCCCATTGTTTTTCTTCCAGTAGGACAGAGCTATCTTCCTTCCAGCCTATGGTCCTGGCTGCTGGAGCACACAGTCTGGGCTCAAGTCAGTGGTCAGGGCCATCTGGGTAGAGGCAATGAGGAAAACATCTGTCTAGTTTCTGGCCTGCGGGAGGCCCGTAGTCCCGCCTTCCTCAGGCAGAGCTCAGCTTTGGCCCAGTGCCTGGGGTTGAGTGTCCTTGTACTTATCTGGGCTGATGAAACCACAGAGGAGCTCTGTTCCCACCACCCTTATCCATGTGGCTCTCAGCGTCAAGGCAATCCAGAGTGCTTCACTTCCCACGGCCGCTGGCCATGCCTCTGCCCTCCTGCAGAGGGGTGGGCACCAGCTGATTTGCCAGGCGCGCAGTGTGGGCCTCATAGGGCTGCCCTGCCAGGCATTTTAAAACATTCCCAGCTTCGAACATTTCTGGCTGGCTTGCCCTCCCGTCCTCCCCTCCCCCTTCATTTCTCATCGCCCCAGAGCCCTACTGGCTTGGACAACCCAAGCATCCGCCTCAAGCAGACAGGCCAGGAGTTCCCTGCCAGATGTCAGTTCTCTTGAAAACCAAACCATAAAGGGAATAAGCTCAGAGAGACAAGGAGCGTTTGTTTCCTCAGGCCTGGTTTCTGTCAAATTGCTGGTTCCATGGCCAATGCTTGCCAGCTTGACTGTGAGAGGGGACAGTGGAAAACTTTGAGGGAGAGCTAGGTGGTTTCCTTGGGTTTCTCTACTTATTGTACCTGGCCTATTTGGCCATCATCCCCTCCCCACACACACACTGAGAGTGACTGGGTTGATGGCCCCTATTACTTTCTTTTGGCAGATGTGGAAGCGCCGCTCTGACCCAGTTCTCCACATTGACCTGCGAAGGTGGGCTGACCTCATGCTGGTGGCTCCCCTTGATGCCAACACTCTGGGGAAGGTGGCCAGTGGCATCTGTGACAACTTACTTGTGAGTGACTCCCAGTGTCTTTCCTCTCCAGTCTTGCTCCCAGTTTGCTGAGTGACAGATTTCACTGCAGAAGTAAATCTGTTATTATTGGGGTGCAGGCCTGTTGAGCAACCCCTGCCCTGGACCTTTAGCACAGAGGCTGCAGGTCTGGGTCCGATGAATCGTCTGACTTTGCCAGTGCTGTCTGGGGCTGTCCACCTCTCTTCTGCCCTCAGTGGTCAGCCCCCTGCTCTCCCATCTTCCCTCACCATAGGCTGCCCTCTGCATGCACCTCCATTGATTTCCATTTGTTCTGCCTTCCCCCCAGAATCTAGAAACACACTGTATACTCTAATAAGAGTGTCTGCTTCCTCATGCATCTCACATGCTTATTTCTCTATAGTCATTTGAGCCCCAAATCTAAAACCCAATTCTCACATCTATCAGAGAAAGCTTAGAAAGAAACGGGAAAACACAGGTGAGAAGCGATTGCCAGGTTGACTTATGCCCGTGAGACTTCTTGGGAGCCGCTCCCTTAAAAAGCATCTGCCTTAAAAAGCATCATCCTGAGGTCTTATGGTCAACTCCTCCCTCCATTTCTTGACCTTTCACCTCCCATGTTCTGGGAGCTTATACTGAGGACACAGGGAGCACTTGGTCTGAGAGAGACTTGTGATCACCCATGTAGGCAGGAGAAATACTCCATGTTGACTGCTATAGTCTTTTTTTTTAAGATTTATTTATTTTATTATGTATACAGTGTTCTGTCTGTCTGTATGTTTGCAGGCCCGAAGAGGGTACCAGATCTCATTATAGATGGTTGTGAGCCACCATGTGGTTGCTGGGAATTGAACTCAGGACCTTAGGAAGAGCAGTCAGTGCTCTTAACCTCTGAGCCATCTCTCCAGCCCCATGACTGCTATAGTCTTAAAAGACCCAATTAGTTTGTGGAGCATGCTTGGTGTTGGGCATTAAGTAGGCATTTACTAATACTGCTTGTATGTGATAGGAAGTAATTTTTCATAAATATTTTTGTTTGAATTTATTTGTGTGTGTGCATGCATGCGCGTATGCATGTGTGCATGTGTGAGAGGAAATGCAAGCTTGTCTCAAACTTTCGGCAGTCCTCTGCCTCCGCCTTCTGAATACTGGGATTACAGGTGTGTTTTACTACACTCAGCTTGTTTTTAGAGTTGAAAATGGTGAAGAAGGGAATATTGAAGATGCATCAGGAGCTTTAGAAGGTCACATATGAAATTAATGTCCTCTCATCTGGGCCTGGTGGCATAAGCCTGTAGTCCTGGCAGTTTGAGAGGCTGAGGCAGGAAGATCAAAAGTTCAAGGCCTGTGTGGGCTTCAGAACAACTCTCTAAGTGGAAAGTGAAAAGAGGGCTGGAGACGTAGCTCAGTGGCAGAGTGCTTGTGTATTGAGTGTGAAACCTTACGTTTACTCAGTCCTTGTCTGCTTATTAGGAGGCTCTTAGCTCCTCTTCCGGGAAACTGCTGGTGACTTAAGCATCATTAGACTAAGAATGTAGGATGGGAGGAACACCACGCTGATGCTGTGGCCAGAAGCAGTCTGGGTAGACAGAGAAGCAGAACCGGGTACAGTATGGTCCTTGCTGCCCAGAAGGACTGGGACTGGGCAGCAGGACACTCAAACAGGTGAGGGAGTTGCTCGGCCATGTACCCCAAATCCCTGGGCTTTCATTGGCAGGTTAGCAGCAGCTGATGTGATAGAGCATTAGCCTCAGAGCTGAACCCCAGCCAGCTCTCTTAGGGCTCTTCCTACCCTCTGAAAACTCAGGTCTCCCTTCCTTTTTGTTGTTGTTGTTGTTGTTAGCATTATTGTCATTATATGCCAAGGTTTGTTTGTTTTCAAATATAGCCGGTAGCTGAGCTGGAGAGATGATTCAGTGGTTAAGAGAACTGGATGCTCCTCCAGAGGATCCAGGTTTGATTCCCAGCACCCACATGGTGATTCACAACTGCCTGTAACAATCTGAGACCTTCTTTTGACCTTCATGGTCAGCAGGCACACGTATGATGTATGAACATACATGCAGTCAAAATACCCACACACATATAAAACAAATAAAATCTCACATAGCCCACTGGCCTTGAAATCCTGATCATCTTGCTTTCCCTGGCCAAGTGATGGGATCACAGGCATGGCCTGAGGGCCTGGCCCCTACACTCCCTATCTTTGAGGTTCTTCTTCAGGACTCTTCTTCAGGACTGACTGAACAGTGGAGCATGTCCCCACACTAACCATTCTCCTCAAACAGCTTTACCTGAACACAGATGTTTCAGACAATGTCCGGTGTTAACGGTTTGAACTGTAAGCATCCTTGGTTGTAGGGCTACCTTCTGCTCAGTGGGTATCTTCTTCAAATCCTGAAAGGAAGCTCAGCCTGCTTCCTCTTTCCAAACCTCCTGTCTCCATTGGAAAGGTGCTGGAGAGCAGCATCTTGTTACGTCGTTCTGCAGTCCTGCTCTCCAGGCCCTCAGCCTAGGCATGGCTGTCTCTCTCTGCTCTAGCCTCTCTTCTGCTAAACTGTCAGGTCCAGAAAGAGGAGGTGATTCCCCAGGCTTGACAGTCTGGCTCAGTGCAAGTCTCTTGACTAGGATCCAGCCTTCTGCCCATCCTGAGCAGGTTCCCAGGGGCAAGGCTGAGGCACTGAGCACAGTGCCAGCTACGGCTGTGGGAACCAGTGTCCTCCTCTCCCTTCCTAGGCCAGTTGCTCTAGAGGAGCTGTGGTTTGTCCAGGAAGCGCTGAGCTCCCTGTCAGACACTGGGGAAGCAGTCCTGTCAGAGGAGGGCAGGGTTCTTGCTGTGAGTAGTGTGCTCTACTTTGAGAGTGCTTAGAACCCAGCCCAGTCCCATCAAGGGCCTCCTCTAGGTTTGCAGAAGCAGCAGGTGGCACAGAGCCAAGAGGAAGTGTGACTGGAATTGTCCACTCATAGCCAGGTTGTCGTATTGAGAGCAGTTGGTGGGAAACCAACTCTGGTGTCTGGGATGACGCAAGCAGCCAGATTCTGTGGCTATTTTTTTTGTCCCAGGAGAGGGTAATGACACTGAGGGGCAGGCACTGGCTCTGGTCTGTATGTTGCATTGTTCTCTGCTCCTTCCTTCTTTCCCCAAAGGACTTTATTTCTGGGGAGGGGTGTCACAAATGCTATCTCCCCAGGAGTGTTCAGGAGGAGGTGCACAGGAGCTATTTCTTTGGGAGGTGGTCCTGAGCCTGTGCCTTTGTTGTGGAGCCCAAACTTAGCGCTAGGCCCTCAACTAAGAACTTTGAAAGCTTTCACACTTTCGCTAGGATCTGGGGTACCCACCTCTAATTCCACCACCTAGGAAAACAGGAGACCAAGAGTTCAAGGTCATGTGTTACATAGCCAGTTCAGAGGTCAACCTGAACTACTCGGGACTCTGCCTCAAAGCATTACTGCCAATACTATATCGCCATCAAAAACATTCGCATTCTGTTTTAGCTAGTTATTTATTTATTTATTGGGACAGGGTCTCTCTAGTCTTGCTGGCCTAGAACTTGCTATATAGACCAGGCTGACTTCAAACTCAGAGGGATCAGCATAGCGTGCCTCTGTCTCCCTAGGGCTAGGATTAAAGGAGTGTGTCACCATGCTCAGCTTCCTTCCTTCTTTCCTCCTTCCCACCTCCCTCCTTACTTCCTTCCCTCCCTCCAAAAAGGGTTTCTATGTGTAACCCGGCTGTCCTGGAACTCACTCTGCAGACCAGACTGGCCTGGAACTCAGATATCCGTCTGTCTCTGCCTTCAAGTGCTGGGATTAAAGGTGTGTGCCACCACTGCCTGGCAGCTCTTTCTTAAAAAGAAAAACAGACAGACAGACAGACAGGGTCCTGGTATATATTCCAGGCTTCAGGTTGTCCCTGAACTTAAGATTCTCTTACCTCAGCCTGCAGAGGGCTGGGAGTATAAGCATATGCCCACATACCTAGCATTCAACCATGGTTTGATTTCAAACTTGTATGACTTCAAAGTTCACAACCGAAAGACTCTGAGTTAAATAAGAAGGGGGGAGGAGATAGAGAGGGAGGGAAGAGGGAGAGACAGGAAGGGAGGATCTTAATTAAGCCCTTTCACAGCTTCTCTCCTGTGTGACCTTGGTGTGGTCTAGCTTTGGGAGGTGGGGAGACTGTCCAGTCCAATGAGTGCTTGAACAGGACCTTGTTTGTATCTAAATGTAACCTTGGGCAACTGTATATCAATCAGGGAGTTGCAGCTTGCTCATCTGTGAACAAGGGACAGTACTTTCCTTATAGGGTTACAGTAAGGGTTCTTGAGATAATAGGTGAGAAAATGTACCATGTGTTGGATGTTTTCATTTTCAGGGTTTATTTGACCTAGAAGTAGAGCTGTTGTTGAGTAGAGCATGAACCAGATTTGGTTCCTAGCCTTCCAGTGAATAGTGAAACTAGCCTCCTGCCCCTAGGATTGCTTCCCAGCCCTGCAGTTGTGAGCTTGTGTAAAGGCTTAGACTGGTGGGCAAGGAGATTGCATACAGAGTGGAGATCTGTTGGAGGTATCTGGGGGCATTGTGAGTGCTGAGTATCTCTTGTGTCCAGGACTATGCCAGAGCCTGAAGGGAGATGGTGTGGACTAAAGAGACAGTCCCTCCCTGCTTAAGGATACAAGAACAGATCTCTGTAGGTGTGTGACACCCAGCCACCCCTAGTCAACAGCTGTTTTGCTGACTGAGGTTGGAGGGCAGTAGGGGACTCAGGGTACTGAGGAAGGGTGGTAGGCAGAGCATTCCCCTCTTCTTCACAGACCTGTGTCATCCGGGCTTGGGACCTCAGCAAGCCTCTACTCTTCTGCCCTGCCATGAACACCGCCATGTGGGAGCACCCTCTCACTGCACAGCAGGTGGACCAGCTCAAGGCCTTTGGCTATGTGGAGATTCCCTGTGTGAGCAAGAAGCTGGTGTGTGGAGATCAAGGTGGGTTTCTTGCATACTCAGCCCAGAGCTATAGAAGGGGCCCTGCTTTCGGGTCACCTTTAGGTTCTATGGTTCAGTGGTTCTCTGGCCCTTGTGACCTTGGATAGAACCATTTTTTGAGCTCAGCTCTCATCTGGCAATGGCCAGAGTGCTAATTCTTGTTTCTCAGGTTCATTAGACTGGAGTGAGACAGATGTGTGGAGTGTCTGGTAGAGTTCCTCATAGTAGAACAACTCTGTTGTTGGAGTGAGCCCAGGGCCTGTCCTGGGATAACTCAGAAGGGATATGGTGGATCTAGCTCACACAGAGCTGGGCTTGGACTCCCCAGACCTCGGATGTGGGCGAAGTGCACAGATTAGATCTGAGTAGTAGCCACAGGCAAGGTTAGTTCATATGAAGACTCTCAGGCACAGATGAACTTTGCTTCCAGGTCTAGGAGCCATGGCCGAGGTGGAGACCATTGTGGGGAAAGTGAAAGAAGTACTCTTCCAGCGCGGGGGCTTCCAGCAGAGCTGAACTGGGGTTTTTGTCCTGGTGTCTGTGCACCCAGTGAGTTCAGCCTGAGCTGCTGAAGAGGGACATCACCACAGCATGAAGAACCTGTGTTCGTGAGGAGGGGCTGGCGTGCACCTTCTCAGAGCTGCCTGGGGACTGACCCTCTTCAAGTTAAACAGAACTACAGACCCAGGTCCTACCTTCTTCCAACCAGGAGATGCTGCTTTCCTGAGGCCCTCCCGTTTCTTCCTGGGATAGGCCCAGAAAGCTGAAGCTGGGCAATCATGTTACTACTGGAAGAATAATTGAATGACTGAGGACCTCCTGCTTGGAAATGCTTTTAGGAACACGATGGCTGAAGCTGGGCATGGTGGCTCATGTCTGTAATCTTAACACTCAGAAGGCTGAGGCAGGATTGCCACAGCTTTGAAGTTTCTTGGGCTACAGAGTGAGCCAGGCCTGTGAGTGTGACAGCCTATTTCAAAACAAAAACAACATGAAGAAACACCATAGCTCAAGATCCCTGGCACAGCAGGCTCCTGATCAAGCCTTGGAAGCTTCCATTCTTTGGTGCCCCAGTGTCACACAGTCAGGAAGTCTGTGAGGTGGCAAGACTCTTCACATTTCCCACAGACTGTACTGGGAGTCGGGGCAGGGACGGTTCTGGGAAATAAAGAAAAGTGACCTCAGGAGACTCTGCCCTTCTTTACATTCTGCCTGTGGCCTCAGAGGTTGAGTGCATGGCCAAGTGAGGCCAGAGAAGGTTCTGGGCTCGCCGGTGACTAACACTCCCACATTCCTATGCAAGGACAGCTCCTGAAGTACAGCTTGGGTCCAGATGACCAGCTGTGGACGGACCTGACTGGCCCTCACTTTCCCATCCGTGTGGTCATTCTTCCACAGTGGAACAGTTGGCAGGATCAAGTGAGGCATATGTTAAAAGTACATTGTCTCATATACCCACAGGGGGTACATTGCTTGGTTCCTAGCAGATTCCTGAAGCTGTGGTACAGAACACATATGATGTCTCCATAAATTAGGCCCAGTAAGAGATTAGCAACAATAACAAAATAGAACAGTTATTTACTTTGCTCTGTAATAAACTGTTTTCCATACTGGAAAAAAAAAAGATTAACAATGTAAAGGGGCTGGCAAGATGGCTCAGTTCATAAAGGTGCTTGCCACCAAGCTCACTACTTGAATTTGATCCCTGGGACTCACATGATGGAAAGTGAGACCAGCTTCTGAAAGTGGTCCTCTGGCCTCCACTCTCACACTGTGGCACATGTACTATTTGCACATGCACACACACACAATAAATATAATAAAAAATTTAAAATACTATTATAAAACCTGTGTGAACATGGCCTCTTAGCAACTTCAACATACAATTTTAAGATTGTATTAAGTCAGAAACTTAGACTTTGTTGTTGTTTTTAGACAGGTCTTTTCATTTTTCTTTGTATCCCTGGTTGTCCTGGAACTCACTCTGTAGTAACACTGCAGTAGTTGATCTGATAGCACAGCTGTGGTAGCTGGCTGGCAATCATATATCACATGGACACGCTGGACTAAATGATGATTCCTGTCTGGTTGGGACGGCACAGGGGGTGTAATTGTCAGATAAATGGGCATTGAAACTGTGTGCGCATCTCAGAAGTGCACACACGTGACAGTAACTTCCCTAATGGTTGCTGAAATAGTCCATCTCATGTTTGGGGAAGTAAGACCCAAAGCCTAAACTGGCATGGCCCTTTATGAAGGTGACAAGTCATCGGCAGGGTCGCAGCCTTTCCCGAATTCCAAGCCCCTCCCTTGCCTCCTGCTCTCCATGTTGGCCCTCTGGTTCCCATCCTTTTAACTTGTTGCACTTGCCTGGAGATACCTGCCCCCATTATAGTACACATGGCCTGGAGGACTAGTCTCAAGAGAGACATTGGCCTAGAAACCTCTTGCTGTCTGTCTCACTTTTGACCTAGTAACTCTGATGTGGCTGTTGTGAGGCCCTCTGTGTATTTGCAGCTGGAGTGGGGACTGCTTTCTACTCTGGCTCCTAGACTAAGCAGTGTAGGCATCCCATGGATGTCCTGAAAGTATTGTGAGTACAGGTGGTGATGTACCAGAACCATGGTCTCCAGCAACCTCCAAGAGCCCTTCTATCTTGAATTAATAAGTGACCTTTTGGGATATGTAGTAACGAGGCCGCCTGTTTGGTTCCCAGCCACCCGACTGACCTGAAATAATCACACAGAAACTATGTTTAAAACACTGCTTGTCCTATTAGCTCTAGCTTCTTATTGGCTAACTCTTACATACTAATTTAACCCATTTCTCCCAATCTGTGCATTACCACGAGGTCGTGTCCTACCAGCAAAGTTTCAGCATGTCTATCTTTGGCGCCTCCATAGTGTCTTACTGACGCCACCCTTCTTTCTCTTTAGTTTTCCCTGCCTTGCGCTGTTCTTTTGCCCTATCACAGGCCAAGACAGTTTCTTTATTCATTAACCAATAAAATCAACACATAGACAGAAGGAACTCCCACACCAAGGATAAAATTGCCTTTAGGCAGTAAAGAAAATATAGCCTAAGTCGTAGGATTAAAAATGGCTCTCTGATTGTGCCAATGCATTGGACACATGGAGAGTCCAAGTTCACACTTGAATAAGAATAAAGGCTTTTTGCTTTTTCATATGAGAGAAAAACATAATAAATTTTAGGGTCAACAGGATGGCTCAGTGGGTAAAAGGTGCCTACCCCTATACCTGATGACCTGACTTCAATAGCTGGGACCCACAGGGTGGAAGGAGAGAACCAGTTCCGAGGAGTTGTCCTCTGGCTTCCACTTGGGCATACTGACATGCAAGCCCACATACATACAAAATAAACAAGGAAATATTAAAAAAGAGAAAAACTAACCTCACTATCCCAGGATGTAATAGTGGAAGAGAGCTTGCTGTCCAGCGTGTGCATGACCCCTTGATGGTAAACAAAACCAGAAACTTCTCAACATCAAGCTTGAGGCCTGTCTGGGCTACAATGTGCGCTCCATGCTAGCCTGAGCTACTTGGTGAGACCTTTTCTCATCTCCCCTTCCCCCAAAAGCCATGTGACAGGTTTCAGAGTGGGAATGTGGGGAGCAAAGCCTACAACACCAAATTCCAAGAGATCTTTAGGTAGTTTCCAACTTCCTCCTCTCACCTCTCCCTGTATTTACCTCAGAGCCCTGCTCATGGATGATAAGACCGACTTTAAGAGAAACTCCTGTCTGCTCTGTGCTTGCTGTAAGTTTCTGTGCTGAGCACCTTAAGGAAAGTAGTTCCTAGAGGTGGCCTCTGGTTACCTCTAGTGGAGGGTGTGTAGGAGACAGCTAAGTGACAAATGCCTTTCTAACAGAAGTGGCCGCAGATTAGCTGGATCTTAGGGTTTCTATTGCTATGATAAACACCACAACCAAACACAATGTGGCAAGGAGAAGGTTTAACTCGGTTGGTAGTCAATCACTGAAGGAGGTCAGAACAAAAACTCAGGCAGAAATTTGGAGGCCAGAACTGAGGCATAAGAATGCTGCTCACTGGCTTCCTCCTGGCTTGTTCAACCTGCTTTCTTAGGGCACCACCCCCAGTAAGCTGGTCCCTCTTACATCAGTCATCAATCGAGACGCACTAAAGGTTCATCACAGTCCAATTGGGAGGGTCATTTTCTCAGGGCCCCTCTTTCCAAATGACTCTAGGTTTGTGTCAAGTTGACATAAAACTAGCCAGCACAAACTATAAAATGCTATGGGAGAGCCAGGCATGGTGGCACATGTCTCTAATACCAGCACTCAGGAGGCAGAGGTAGGCAGATCCTTTGAATTCAAGGCCAGCCTGGTCTATGGAGCAGGTTCCAGGCCAACCAGGGCTACACAGTAAGACTGTGTCTCAAATAACAATGATGGGAGGCCAGGCACGGTGACTCATGCCATCAATCCCGCTCTCCTGGGGCACAGGCAGACATATGGCAGTTCCGGTCCAGCCAGAGCTACACTAGAGAGAGCCTGTGCCAGACAAAAGCCGAGAGCAGAGAACTTCAAAGCACTTTGTCCTGTCACTCTGAAAGCTGTGACTCATCCTTGGCTAAAGGGAAATAGCTGTCCCCGTGGACAGGAGCCAGCAAGAGGTCCCATCCCTGGCTGGCTACTCCTACTCTGACACAGGGCAGCCCTACATGTCTGAGTCAACTAGGAAAGGCAGAACATGTATTGGATGGGGTCCTGTGGTAGTTGTGACAAGGACAGCTTCTACCACTGAGGCTCTGTTGACCTTTTGAAATCAACTTGGGTAGAAATGTTTTTCAGAGAATTTTCTCGTCTCCTAATATGTTATAGAATTCTGCAAGTGTGGCAGAACAAAACTTTTGGGTTTGAAATATTTAATTTTGCTTGGGAGCCTGCCTTGCATCTTTCTAGGCTGCAGTAGCTGCTGCTGGTCAAGAGGCTGATGCCTTTTTGCTGGACTTCTCTGCATAATTCACCAGGCTCTCAGCTGCCGTCTCACTGCCCCAAGGCTGGGGTGAAGCTGCTTGGACCGGAAGACATTTGTCCCCTGGCTGCCTCCTCCATGTGCTGCCCAAGGTAACTGTAGGTCACCTTTGCAATGCCTTCTCTGGCCCATTTGGCCTGGATTAAGTGGTCCTAACCCAGGTTCTCGTGTCCCCGATTTATTACAACACAGAATTGTAATTGTCTATTTTTTTTTCTGTTTTTGTTTTCAAGACAGGGTTTCTCTGTGTAGCCCTGGCTGTCCTGGAACTCACTTTGTAGACCAGACTGGCCTCAAACTCATAGAGATCTGTTGGTGGGAGGCTGCTTGTTTGTTCCCGGCTGCTCAGCCCCAAAATAACCACACAGAAATTATATTAACTGCAATACTGTTTGGCCAATAGCTTAAGTGTATTGCTAACTAGCTCTTATATCTTTGGTTAACCCATTTCTATTAATATGTGTTTTACCACATGGCAGTGGCTTACTGAAAAAGTTCTGGCGGTGTGTCTGTCTCTGGAGGTGACTACATGGCTTCTCCCTCGCTCCGCCTACTTTCTCCCAGCATTCAGTTTAGTTTTCCCGCCTAGCTCTATTCTGCCCTACCACAGGCCAAAACAGTTTCTTTATTCATTAACCAATAAAACAACACATATAAAACCACACCAGAGATCCACCTGCCTCTGCCTCCCAAGTGCTGGAATTAAAGGTGTGCACACCACTGCCTGCTGTCTATTTTCTTTGTTTCCCTCTGGTATCGGGCTGTCTTGTAGAGTAGCAGTTGTCTTGTGCCTTTCGGAACCAAGCAAGTCATTCCAAGCTTATTGCACTGTCAGGTGTGTGTGTGTTTGGGGGGGGGTCATATCCTGTTCCTTTTTGAAGAAGATCGAAAACCTAGACATCAAAAGAAGCAAAGACTGATAAATTTGACTATAGAAAAGCCAACAGGTTGGCAGAACAGAAACCCAAAGACAAAGCTAAAAGACAAACTTGGAAAATCACCTGCAACTCTTATAACAGAGGGAGGAACCCCCAATATACAGAATCTTTCACTGGCATATGTTTGTTTGAGACAAAGTCTAGCAATGTAGCCCAGACTGACTTTGAACTTGAGACTCTCCTACTTTAAGCATCCCAAGGGCTGGAATTGCAGGCATGCACCATACACCC